CCCACCTTAGGGATCAATCAGACCCTACTGTCTGTCCCACCCTAGGGATCAATTAGACCCTATTGTCTGTCCCACCCTAGGTGGGGCCCACTCCCTGCTGATAAGTATAGTGGATTGCATCCCCGAAGGAGAGCCCCAAAACAAGGTTAAGCCAACTCAAGGAGGACCAAGGCTTGTCTGCCATCTTGAATATAGGATCCACCCATCTTGTCACGTGTACCCCTGCTACCTCCCTTTCTTATTGTGTGTACACCCCTAACTCAACCCCTTCCTGTTACATATGTGGTTACCTATAATCAGAGGGCCTTTCATGCTCCCCAATTATATATAAGCTGTGATTGGAAATATATTCTCTCTCTGCATGGACCTGGCTGCTGAGATCACGGCTGTCCCGGTGGTGAGCGTGCTACCATGAAATGTGTCTGACTCCTTTATTTTACTCTCTCTCCTATCCTCTATGACTTTACTATAACCTTTATGTATGTAGCCGTAAATTGCTCCTATGGATCCCTTGGTTGTTAGAGGCTGGTTAACAATAAGAGGCACAAATATGATTCTACTATCGTCTTTGTTTTAAAAATTACGTATAACTAAAGAGTTGGAAAAGCGACAAGTTGACAAGGGGTGTTCTGTGGTAGTTACATAATTTTATGTCAACTTGTAGTGCAGTGGTGGAGGTTAGCCTGTTAATTAGGTTGCAGCTTGATGACTTCATTTGGAGGTACTACCGAGATAAATGGCTCTCTGGAGGCGGGTGACTCTTTCTGTCTTCATCTTCCTGTTGGTAAGTCACATGGAGATCTGCACCAGCCCTGTGATGCTTCCGCTGCTACTGGATCAACAATACTTTTCACCCACCGGCCTGTGATGTTCCTGTATTCTGCATCATTTCATGTGGCTGCTGAGTCTGAGGAGAGACTTATGGACGAGTATCGGACATATGGACTTGAGTTGGACTGGGCAGGGATGTTTTCCCGATATACAACTACTTCTTGATATACAGCTCTTTCTTATACATATATGTGTGGCACTGGATTGGTTTCTCGAGTCAACCTGGCCAAACCGTGTTTACAAGGATGTAAATCTTTTTATGGGAACAGCCAGCCCAAGCTTTCTCTTGAGGAGGAGTTGGTGGTTTGAACCACTGACCTTCTGGCTGGCAGCTACCAGGGTTCATCTAGGTTTATGGAAATGTTACTCCATGATGTGTTTCAAAATGAAATCAGGGTATTGCTGCTTTCTTTAATTAGAGGAATTTTACCATATTGACACTTTGTATGGCAGTTATATAATCTGTCAGCTTGTGAAGGGGTGGAGTCTAGCCTGTCAATCAGGTCATAGCCAATGAGGCCTCTGTGGGCATGGACTTCTCCTGAGGATTCTGGGAACTCCTACTTTCCTCCCTGGAGACCGGACATATACATTCTGCTTGTCTTCCTGCTGATAAGCCAGATGGAGACCCCTGATGGAACCAGAGCCCTGGAGCTGGAGGAGCTACATGGAGACCCACACCAGTGCTGATATGCTTCCACCACCACTGCATCCATAAGACTTTCCACCCACTGGCCTATGATCTCCTTGCATTTGACATCATTGCATGTGTTGCGTGAGTCTGAAGAGGAAATTATAGGCTAGTATTGGACATATGGGCTACTATCGGATTTATGGACTTTATCTGGACTGGGCTGGGATGTTTTCTTAATATACAATTACTCTTTGATATAAAGTTCTCTGTTACACACGTATGAGTGTCTATGAATTTGTTTCTCTAGTCACCCTGGACTAACACACCTTGTAAAGTGTGTTAATAATGTCTCATGGGCATTTCTATAGTTTCAGCTGATATAATTACATTCGAAAGAAGTGTACCTTCTGAAAAGCTAGAATTTCAAAACTCAAAATGAATATAACTTTTCAATGCATATTTGTACTGAAACCAACATGTTAACATACTTCCTTATGCCTTTTCAAAGCATCCAATCTCATGACTCATGTAGTGAAATTCAATTTAAGGAATTTAGTAGGCTCATAGCAGACTTATTAAGAATCATCTTCATTTATTAACATGCTTTTTTCTTATTTAATACAAAAAAGAATAAAAAATTAAAGTCACAATTACCAGTAGATCAAAGCACTGAGCAAACAGGCTGACTATAAAAAAGTATATTAAAAATATAAACAACAAATGTAAACATTTTCTTAGTCAGAGGTTTTATAATACAGTGTCTAAGGACCATGCATGCCTTACTGCTCTGACAGTGGGATCACCTGAACTGTGGTCAAATTGTAATCAGCTTAATGAATCTTTAAATGAGCTATTACATCTCTATAAACATAAATAATCAAACTCTGCCAAGTACACAGACACACACAGAAAATCTCAAATGTACAAGCAATCTCAGCCCCCAAATAATAATAATAATAAGCTGCAGTAACATGAGATGGAATCATCCATATCCTGCAATTATCTTTTAAGTATATTTTCACTTAAACATTCATCAGGATGTAGAGAGCAAGAAGAAAGGGAGAAAATTCTTTCGCTCACGCACACACACACAAATGCATATACACACGCACACACACACAAATGCACATATACGCGCACACACAGGTTGTTTTGGTAGAAGCAAAACTGAAGACACCGTTTCTGTACTTTCGCTTCTGAGTGTTCATTACTAATCTAGACAGGCGTTTTTCGTTTTTAGCTGGAAGCTACTTCCCAAACAAGTGACTGCACAAGAAGCAGCCGGCCATAAGCCAACTGTGATCCCGTTTTGAGAAAACCAAATCTCAATTCCATACCTTAGTGAGCATGCAAAATAATGCCAAGGCATAACATGGACAATAACATAACAGATTTTAATAAGTATAGGCAATTCTGCTGCGAGTGGAAACACGAGCTTGTGTTCCTTAGGGCAAGACATATTTTCTGCTAATATGATACTTCTATTCTCCATTCACCATCTGGTGAGGCATACTTTCTCGGTGACAGTCAAAATGGTCAAATAATTTTTGTTTTTATATATTACAACTAATAAATTTTAAAGTTTAGATGATTTTAAGGTCTATTTTAATTGCTGAACTTTGTTACTCGGCAAACCTTAAGTACTTAAAATATCAAGTAATAACTGACTTATTTTTTCATTGTATGGAAAAATCTCAAGGTTCTTCATCAATTGACTATATTCAAGTGAAAAGAAGGTAAAAACATAGTAGGTTTAACAAAATAAACCAAGAGAAAAATTAAAAACTCTTGGATAGCCATAACAACATGTACTAATTTAGTAGTTTATTTATATTGTGTATGTACAACTTGTAAGAGTGATTTATAAATAATTTTACAATCCTGGTGTAAAATTCAAAGAACCATTTTATGACCCATTTAAAAAAATGTAAAACTATACTGCTGATTTCCATTATATTAAATATCTCAACATGTGTCTAATTTTTATCCAAAACTAATGAGATGGGAAGTAATTACAATGTCTTTAAATTCCAACAGTACTGTTTCTTGAATTTGTAGTGTTCTAGTGGTATTGGAGATGAAGATGATAATTATACTTTTCCATAGAGAGAAAAGGAAATGGAATGAATATTTGCAATAGAGGTTATCTGTGAACAAAGACTAAGAGCATGGGTAGCATGTTGTCTAAGACTGTATTTCATAATAAAAAAATTTAACACTTCTGGATACCAAGTACTAAATATACCACTGATAAGACAAGAACCTTTTCTATGGAAGTACCTACAGTGTATCTTTTTTCAAATAAATGTATACAATATGGCCTTAGCTCAGTGGTTTTCAAGACCCCTTTGGGGGTCGAATAACCCTTCAATGGGGGTCACCCAATTTATAACAGTATCATAATGACAATGATGAAGTAGCAATGAAAATGATGTTATGGTGGGGGTCCCCACCACATGAGGAGCTGTATGAAAGGGTCGCGGCATGAGGAAGGTGGAGCACTACTGTCTTCACGGAACATGAACGATTCAGCTTTTTAAAATTCATTTTGGAGACTTTTAAGTGTTTTTAACTTTTATAAGTTCTGTAAAAGGTCCTCACACAGAGAAATGCATTGCACAAGTTAGGGGAGGCCTGGAGATAGTTATGTATTATAAGCTTACTGCTTACGAGATTTAAATAGGAGTCTACATCGATTCGAATTATCAGATAATTTTTTCAGACACATTTCCTTATCAATATCGCATTATTTAGACCAAGAAATCTTTCTTGGCTTTTTGTTTGCACAAAGAAAAAACAAAAACAAAAACAAAAAACAAGAAAAGAAATGAAAGAAATAGAGGGAAGGAGGAAAACGAAAACAAAAGTCGTGCCCATCACTGTCGCGTCCCCTGTGCAATGACCAACAAAGCTACAGAGAACAACGCAGATTGAACTTGTCCATGAAGAATTCTGCCCAGCATCATTTTACATTGTTCTGCATTTCTTGTGTAACACTGTGTGTATTTCACGTTACCGAGTAGAAATCCAGTGGAAAATGTATAGACCAGGAGATAACGAACCACACTCATGTACACTTGTTGAGAAGTCAGGCGATCTGCACTACTACTTACGTGATGTGGTCACAGCTTTCGAAAAGCAGCATGAAACCATGAGAAATGAGACATTTAAAAAATTTGTTCACTTAAAAAAAAAAAAGACGATTCACATATAAGGCACTTCAATGTCAAACAGAGATACTTTCTCCAGCTCATATGGCCGCCTGGCTCTGTTCTTCATGAACAAAGGCACCGGTGTAGGCCCTGGGTTGGACTTTGGCATCCACATCATCAGTTCTCTCCTGGACACCAGCGGACCGGAGAGGGGTTGGCCCTGAGAGACCCACTAGCCTGTTGTCGGCCTGTGCAGACAAGGACTGCTCTCTAAGGGGAAGCATGTAGTAGGTCCAACTGGCTCCTCAGGGGGGAGGGCGAGGCTGAGGCACAATACTGATCGCTCCTTGTGCTGCAGATGAGCCCTCCCTGGGCAGGTTCTTGGGAGGTGTCACACCTCCCAAACCTGTTGAAGTGGGAGTTCAGGGGCTCCGGTGGTCGAGGTAACAGTTGCGCCAGCTGGTTGAGAAGGTAAAGACAGAGTGCAATGAGAAAGAGTGACTTCGAAGACAATGACTGTTCCCACCCTCTCTCCCTCCCCCAAAAGATCATGACAAACCAATTGGTAATTTTTGGAGAATTTTAATTAAAAAACATGACAGTCAATTTTCTAAAACGATTCAGGTTTTGATTTTTTTCTTTTTTCCTGGAAAAGGTTGGTAAGAGTGCTTCGACTTCTGCAAATGCATGGAAACAGAACTTAAAAAAAAAAAAAGCTCCGTAGTGCATAAAACCCCAAATCAAACCAGTTGTCCTAGCTGTGGCTCCCACTCAGACTGATCCCGGGTGTCGGAGTAGAACTGGACTCCACAGGGGTTTCAGGGCTGGACTTATCAGAAAAAGAATGCCAGGCCTTCTTCTGAGATGCCTCTGGATGGCCCTGAAACTCCCAACTTTCAGTTAGACCAATGTTTGATCATCGTACACTCTCATAGCACACAGGCCAGTGGAAATTAGAATTTTCTTATGAAATGAATAGATTTCACGATGGATTGGATTACAAGAAAGTTCATACGCTTAGAAAGGATTGCTATGATCACGCTTTTAGAATGTGATTTTGGAAAATTAATGACAATAGGAAAGCAGTAAGGGGTTCACACGTTGCTCTTCCTCATCTTTGTTCTTAAGAAGAGACTCACTGTCGTGTACTGTTCAATGCCAGTTACTGGTTCACAGGTAAGAGAAAAAGAATGGGTGCTTCTGAGATGATGGTGCTAGGGTTTCTGTGCGTATCATTATAAATTATTACAGCTCTGATGTTTTACAAAAGCAGCCCTGGCCGTGCTGTTAAACAATGGACTGCTAAATGCAAAGTCAGAGGTTCAAATCTATCAGCCGCTCTGTGGGTGAAAGATGAGGCTATTTATTCCTGTGGAGATGTATAGCATTGGAAACTCCATATAGGGTTGCTATTTGATGGGCAACAATCTATCAAAAGACAGTGGAACAATCGGAAAAACTATGAGAACCATCAAAGTAGGTACTTGAAGAGGTAAAGGAAAGATAAAGGAAATAAAGGCTATTCTGGTTTTAACATAACATAAACAACCCTTGTATAGCACTTTGCAAACTACAAGTATTTTCCACATGCGTTGCTCGAGGCAGATGTAATCATTTTCATCTGGAAGAGTACCAGTCCGTCTCAACTAGTCCCTAAAAACCAAACCCTCACGGCCATTGAGTCGAGGCTGACTCAGAGACCATGGAGGACAGAGTAGACCTGCCCCTGCGTTTCTGAGATTGTAACTGTTGACGGTGAGGATTGCAGCCCAATGTGTAACCACTGTGCCACTCGGGCCCTTCCTATATTATGCTACTAAGCCTTGGTGTGGTATTAACTTTTTACCTTTATCCTAATAGAGGTAATGATATTACCACCTCCTTTTTACAGATAAAGAAACTGAAGCACATGTTTTAATGATTTGCCCAAAGTCACATGCAAGTATGTCACAGAATTGAGACAGCGTTAAGAGTGGGACCCAGATAATTCCTATAATCTTAACCTCTCAAGGCAAGACAATGAGGAAGTCAGTTAAATAACACAGTGCAACAACAAGAATTATTTTCTTGGTGTCTGGGTTTTGAGGCCTCTTCCTGGGCTTATTTGGTGCGCTGATTCCGAAAATTGCGTCAGATAGACGGGGTCAGCTCTGTTTGTTAGATATGGCATTCCACTATATTTTCAGCTATTAAGTTATACTCATTGACTAACTTATCATCCTAATTTTAAATATAAAAAGGAGCCCTGGTGGTGTAGTGGGTATGCATTGGGCTGCTAACCACTAGGTCAGCAGTTTGAAACCACCAGCCTGCTCTGCAGGAGAAAGATGGGACTTTCTACTCCAGTTCCAGTCTCGGAAACTGAAGGGAGCAGTCCTCATAGGGTGGCTATGCGTTGGCAGGGAGCGAGGTTTAAATATGAGAAGAATTCAGACCCACACATTCCAAGATAAAACCCAAAAAAGGTAAGAAATAATTGAAAAAGAATGAGGTATTAAGGGGCTTCCGAAGAAGCTGTAAATAGACCCATGGTGGCTAGTTGGTTACACACTGAGCTTTGTTACAAGGCCAGTGGTTCAAATCCAGTCACTCTGCAGCCTTTCGAAGATTTACAGGTTTGGACACCCCAAGGGGAAGTTCTTCTCTGTCCCCCAGGGTCACTATGAGTTAGATCAAGTACGTGGCAGCAGGCTATGCTTTTTGGCACGGAGGCTGTGCGATGTACCGAGACGAGGAGCTACTCTCTATAGGAAAATAGGCAGTGATGCAGCAAGCATCAAGAGAAGATGGAAAGAAAGCACAGAATCACTGTATCAAAAGAACTAGTCAACATGCCACCAATTCAGGCGGTAGCATATGGGCAAGGACCCAAGGTCCTGAAGGAAGGCGTTAAGCCGCGCTGAACAAGAGCAAACACACAGAAGGCTCTAGGAATTGAGGAGATAGCCATTGAAACGTTTCAACAAGCTGGAAGCTCTCATTTGTCAACGCCAGGAACTTTGAAAGATAGCTACTTGGCTAACTGACTGGAAGAGATCCCTAATCGTGCCCATTCTGGGGAAAAAACAGTGTCCCAACAGAATGATCAAATTATAGATATTGCATGTAAATACAAGTTTGCTTAAGATTTTCCAACAACGGTTGTCACAGTACATCGATGGGGAATTTGCCAGACATTCAGGCCAGATTCAGAAGAGGACGCGGAACAAGGGATGTCATTGCTGATGTCAGTCATATGTCAGTAACAGGTCACAGGCTGATGATGTCTCCTTGTGGGTGTGGCCTTCTCATGAGGATTCTGGGAACTTCCTCTCTTTCTCCCTGGATGTGAGCCACGCACTCTCTCTGCTTCACGTTCCTGTTGTTGAGACACTTGAGGAGCCAAGTGAAGACCCGGCCAGAGCTGAGATGCTTCCTCTACCACTGGATCCACAAGACTTTTCACTCACTGGCCTATGATCTACCTGCATTTGGCATCCTTGCGAGTGGCTACGTGAGTCTGAAGAGGAATTTATAGACTAGTATCAGACATATGGGCTAATTAATATCACTTATGGGCTTGATCTGGACTGGGTTGGGATGTTCTCTCAATATACAATTGCTTTGATATAAAGCTGTTTCTCACACATTACACGAGTGTCCCTGGATTGGTTCCTCTAGTCAACCCGGACTAACACAAGGAGTAAGGTCCGCCTGACCCAAGCCATGGTATTTTCCACTGCCTCACTGAATAAGGGAGAAGAATGGATGCATTTTAAATGTGGTGCTGGAGATCAATATTGAAAGTACCATGGACTGCTAAAAGGACAAACCAACCTGTCTTGGAAGAAATACGGACAGAGTGCTCCTTAGAGGCAAGCATACTGTGTCTTACAGACTTTGGACATACTAGAGAAGAGAACAGTTCATGGAGAAGGACATCATGCTTGGTAAAACGGAGGGCCGGCAAAACGAGGAAGGCCCTCAATGAGATTGATTGACATTGGGGCTGCAACATTGGGCTGATGCACCGGAACCATTGCGAGGACGGTGCAGGGTCGTGCTTGGTTTGATCTGTTTTGCATAGGGTCGCTATGGCTCTGAACTGACTTGCTGGCACCTCACAACAACAACAACAACAACCAGTTACTAGCAAAGCCAGGACACACCTGGAGAGAGTGGAAAAGAAAAAAGAAAATTGAAAAGGCACTTGTATGAAAGCTGTGAGGACAATTTAGAGTGTCGAAAATGTAAGACTTCATAGCAATTTTCACAAATATTTTGAAGATCCAAATTTTTCTTCTTTCAGTGCGATGGTAAACATTTCAGAACCCGTTTTAATATACAGAACTCAGTGGATAATTCGTGTTAATGATCTCACAAGGATCTTTTCTGTTAAGCGTTTTTATGTGCACAGGTGGAGATGTTGCACCATTTTTTTTTTTTTTAGCATATGTGCTGTCGACGGGATCACAAGAAGTTGCGCCATTTAATAGCAAGGCTAGAACATTTGAATAAAGCAGCTTGAATTCTGATGGACCCATGTTGGGTTTCAGAACATTTGCATCTCTTTTTATTGTATCAAAATCACTTCCAGTTAGCCAATTATAACTCATAGGGGCCCTACAGGGCACAGTGGCTCTTCTGTGTGTTTCTGAAAACCTTCGTGGAAGCAGAAAGCCTCATCTTTCTCTCACAGAGCAGCTGGTGGGCTCAAACAGCCGATCTTGTGGTTAGCAGTCAAATATACAGCCGATGCCATCAGGCCTCTTTTATTGATTGCACAGTAACTCTTACTTCTGGCCCCCTTTTAAGATAATAAACTGGAACTGCCTGCCAATCAGTTCCCAACAGAGGCAGAGCGATAGTTGTGGAAAACTCCAAGTTCATGTAATTTGTACTGTTAAAATATACCCCTGGATCAAGGGACATCACAGGAAGTATCTCTTGACTGAAACATTTAGTACAACACCAACTACTTTAAATAAAGCGGGCGTGCACTTCTGCTACCTCAAGCTAGCTAACGCTGTGTTACAATATTCTGATTTTTAATTTAAATGATTAGAAAAACTAGAAAACTGATTTTCATTTTGAAGGTCCACATCTGGACATATATTTCATTTAGGGAATTGCTGTGTTATATGTGTCCATGGGGATCATGCCCACTGGACTCAATCTCAACATGTGAAGCAGTATGACAGGAGATAAGGGCATCAGAGGACCAAGTAAGTGTTACCTCTCCCATTCGTTTTTGGTTTAGATTTGGGCAAATGATTTGTTTTCTATATAACCTAAGGGAAACAAATTCTATCTGTTTCTTTTTTTACTCCCTGAATGGAGTGCCCCGTTCCTGGAAGTGCTGCAATACCAGGTCGATCGTGGAGTGGATGGAGCAAGCTCCTACTCCATCTCCTAATTCCAAAAATCCATTTAATATATTGTCTTCGGATAGAGGACGTATCAGATAGTAAACTGATAAGAACAGGTACTACACTTGATCTTGGCCAAAAGGCTGAGAAGCGATTCTATCTGTTTCAATACACAATTAGTGATTTAACTTGTTAGTTGTCATTGTGCCGTCCCCCAGCACATGGCAACCCTATGTACAATGGGATTGGATCACTGTGATCCACAGGGTTGATTAGCTCAATTTAAGATAGTTTTCAAGGCCTTTCTTCCTAATCCATCTACCATAGATACTCGAGTTTAAGCTGACTTGAATATCTGTCGAAGCACCTAATTTTACCACAAAAACTGCATAAAAATGTGCTGAAAAACTCGGCTTATACACGAGCATATACGGTAAGTTTGGAAGCTCTGATGAAACTAGTTTAGCATGGAAGTAACACATACATTTCTGCTGACAGACAAGCGGTGGCTGTGTTTGTGGTATATCTTGACTGAGAATTGAACCTGGGTCTCCTACAGGTGAGGCCAGAATTCTATCATGGAATCACCATTGCCCACATACTAGTGGTTTCTCTCTAGTCAATCCCTCTCATTTCTTTCCCCGCC